CTTAAAATAAGAAAATGTGTTTCAGGATACAGGACATATCTGTTCAAAATGTGAGGCTGGCTTAGGATAGCATTTAAATACAACAAGAGTTATTTCTGAGCAAAAGGGAGTGACTGTTATGAGAAAAAAACTAAACAAAAGCAGAGTGACTTGAGAAGATGGCATTTGGTTTAGCAGAAGTGTTTCTCTCTCCTTCTGCGAGGTGTTTACACTCATCGGTGATGAAGGAGACATCATATCTCCTGAGCTGAGTGATAGCCAGGTGGCTGATGGGCCCTTCTCCAGCCTCAGCGTGCTTCAAAAGGAGCGGGATACCTTGGGAAGCAAGGCATTCTTCAGAGCCAACAGGTACATCATGGTGTCCTCCTTTTTTCTCTGGCTTTTCAGTCCATTCAGGATTAGCTTCTTAGCCCTACAACCACAGCCTAAAAGATCACACACCTCAGACAAATGCCCAGCTCCGTACTTAAAAAAAACGTCAACTTTAGGACGTTTGCTCTAGCTACAAGTAAAGCTTGTTAAAAAGGCACCCAATGGTCTCAAATGTCTGTTTCCATGTTGTAGAGAAGCTGGCATAACCAATAGTTGCCATTTAGTCTTTAATACACTCCAAACACAGAAGAAGCACAGTTATTCTCTATGGAGGACACTTTCTCAGCATCTCAAACAAAAAGATAACTGTGGGTCTATATCCCCAGGTCCTTTTGTTCATCTTTGTTCATGGTTTAATACTACAGTGTCCATGGACCTCTTGGTGATACCATGATTCATGGGTGCTTGAGACTCTTAGATAAAATAAAACAGTATTTGCATGTAATCTGTATGAACCCTAGTGCCTATCTGAGTCATCTCTACATGATGTGTTGTCCTCAGTATATTGTGACTGCTGGGTGAATGGCTGTGCGTGTTGAATACATGGCCACTGCACTTGCATTTGCCCTCACTATTTCAACCTAAGGCTGGTTAAATCTCAGCTGGAGAATCCCCACAAGCAGAGGACTCGCCGCTGTATTGGTATTTCTGCATTTGGTGAACGTGACAGGAATTCCTTGAGGGTGGTATGATATTCTGTGCGTCTTTATGTTAAAGGGTTGGCATCATGCCTAGTACAGAGTAGATGCTCACTAAATAATGCTGAGTGGGTGCTTTTATGTATGGATTTTGTCTAAAACCAGCTATTTAATAATTGTTGAAATTGGACATGCAGAGATTTATCATTCACTAATATCTTAGACGTAACACCAGCTTTGATTTCTGTCAAACTTGACAGAAATTTTCAACATCCCTGTTGCTACAGTCCTTTCTCATGTGTTCTATCTCTGACTGCTACCTGTGGCCTCAAGAATGACTCTCTGTATTGTTTTTAACAACAAGCATTTAGGAGGAGGAGGAGGAGAAGAAGAAGGAACTGAATGCCAGCTCATAATAAGAATGGGAAGGGGCTGTATCTATTCGGCGTTTTAATGGATTTTACTAGATTTTTAATCCACTTGGTTTTCCGTATATAGTTATGCTTGCAAAGTAAATTTTTTTTTATTTTTTTTAATGGAACATATGAGAGAGTTGATAGCCTACTCAGGCAAGCAAAGACATTTTTGCAAATAGGACCAAGATACAAAGTTGTAGGTGATTAACAGCTGAGTAAATTCATAGCACCAAAACTCACATATGAAGAAAACGTTCCAATCAAGGAGGGAAGTTGTGGAGTCCCATAACCCTTCAAGGACAAGAACACCACTCAAAAGAGATGAAGAAGAATCATTCAAATGTGGTAAAGGGTAAATGTCATCAAGAGAACAGAAAGAACTACAGACATATGCACATGCAACAACAGAGCATCTGAGGTATGAAAGGAGACACACTGCCACCCAAGAAACACACAGGACTTCACGGGTCACCCAGACAAAGTCAATGAGGGAAACACTTGAACTCCATATGGGGGAAAAGCATATCCCAGTCATAGGCTGAACATACATCCGTGCCACAGGGTGGTTTTCTTCTCCAAGGACACACAGAAAATTTGCCGGCTATGTGTCATCTATTAGGCTACACTATATCTTCAGGGGTTTTGTTGTTGTTGCTTGGGGGCGGCTTAGTGGCCTGGAGCTCACTCTGTAGACCAGAGAGCTCTAGATCCACTATTTCCGCGTGTGCTGGGACTTAAGGGTACACAGCACTATATCTAGTACACTGTAAGTTTTAACACATTTAAGAAGACTGGAACCATATCAAATATTTTCCAGCCACAATTAAGTAAAACTAGAAATCAAATAGAAGAAAGAAATAAAGGGAAATTAACCAATATGTAGAAATTAAACAGTATTCTCCTGAACAACTGTTGGGTCAAAGAGAAACTTAAAATATACATTCAGGTAAATGAAAAGGAAATACAACTCGCTTCATGGTCACAGTAAAAACATCCCCTGAGAACAAAGCTTAGAGCATACTTGCTGACATCAAAAGGGACCTCCAATAAACATCATGTTACGTTTCAAATAACTATTGCTAAGAACTAAAGAAACTCAAAGTTAGTAGGAGGGAGAAAATAACAAACCAGACAAATAAGTGAAGTAGAAAATCAGGCAAAAGAAAAATCAATGAGAATAAAACTGTGAATTTTTAAAATATAATGGAAATCAACAGACCTTATGCTAGAATAAAGAAAAAAGACAAAAGAGTCAAATAGGCAAAATCAGATATGAAAGATGAAGTTCCCACTGATGACACAAACACAACAGGTCACTAGAGTTAGCCGTAAGGGACTAAGTGTTACACAGAGACTGCACAACTTAGGGAAACAGCCCAGCTACTTGGAACATTTAGTACAAACAAGACTAAACAATGACACACACGACACTGGTAATGAACAAGACTGACTATGTAATCAAGTCTCCTGGGAAAGGAGGCCCAGGACCACATGGCTTTACATTTAAAGACAATCCTCCCCAAAGTCTCACAAACAACAGAGGAGAAGGAAATACCCACTGCGGCCACTGTACAAAGCATTGCCCCATGTCAGAGCCAAGATACTAACAGAAGACTAGAAACTATCACTGCTGAACATAGACTGCAAACTTCTAACAAAGTAACAGCATCTGGGAGAAGGATAGATGGCTCCACAATGAAAAACACTTGATATTCTTGCAGAGGACCCTGGTTCATTTCTCCCATCCAAATGACGGCTCACCAAACATTGGTAGCTCCAGTTCCAGAGCATCACACACCCTCTTCGGTCTTCACAGGCACCAGGCACAAACAGAACAATTACACACATCCAGGAAAAGCACCCATATACACAAAATAAACCTTTAAATCAGCAAGAGTACACTCAAAATACCCACATACACATTCTATATGATTGAGATTCATCTCTGTGATGATTCAGCCTTGATTTTGTACATGCAAATCAACAGATGCAACTGACCATACCAGCAGAGTGAAGGCCAAAACAATATGGCCATCTCAACAGAGGAAGAAGAGACACTAGGCAAAATGTTACCCTTCTGATAACTCTACAAATTAGGTATGAGAAGGAATGTCCCACGTGATAAAACTCCCTAGGTGGTGAATTCATAACTAACATACTGCACAGTGAAAAGCTGAAGGCTTCTCTATGACCAGGAAGAAGACAAGAATGCTTAGTAGACACTACTATTCTCCATCACACTTTAAGTCCTAGCCAAGAAATAGAAATAAAAGCCATAAAGTAAGAAAGTAAATATGTGAAACCACCTAGTTTATGACCAGATGGCTTTAAACACAGGGAAGCCACTATCTCACTACTGGAACTAATGAATGGATTCTGTAAAGTGGCTGAACACAATTTCAACAAACATTTTCCCAAATGTTAATAATGTAATATCCTAAAAGGAAGGTATGAAAAGAATGTTTCTATAAGAGTATCAAAAATACTTAGCCAGGGAAGTGAGCCACTGTGTACTGAATACTAGAAAATGGTTGCAATGACTAAAGAGACCACTAATAAGTAAAAGGATATGCCATGTAGGAATAACTGATATCATTAAATGTACATATGATCCAAAGCCATCTACAGAATTAATGCAATCCATATAAACATATCAATAACATACTTTAGAGAACTAAAAACTATAGTCCTAAAATCTGTACAGAATAAAAAAAATACTGAATGGTCAAAGCAATTGAGCAAAAGGAACAAAGCTAGAAACATCACAGTACTGTATTTTAAAATACAGTGCTGAGCAACACTCATAAAAACGTCATGGTTTTGGCATAAATGTATAGAAACAACAGTCTGTGGGATCAGACTGGGGTACATAAGCCCACACAGCAATGGTCAAATGATTTTTCCCCACAAAGTGCCAAGAACACACAATAGGGGGAAAATGGTGTCTTCGATAATGGCTTTAAGAAAATGTACATTCACATACAGAAGGATGAAAGTGGATCCTGAAATAACTCCAGTACAAGAATTACCTCAAAATGAGTTATAGATTTAAACTTGAGATCTGCAACTGCAAAAATGTCTAGAAAACAGCATCAAGGGCAGAGAGGTAGCACAGAGTACGAGTACTCACCTTACTCCCAGCACCTGGGAGTCTGAGGTAGATTATGAGTTTGACGCCTGCTTGAACAAATTCAAGGCAAGCCTGAGCTACATAGTGAGGCCCCATTTCAAAAGTAGGTAATCCGTTGATGAAATTCAGTAGTGGAGTACACACACACACACACACACACACACACACACACACACACCATTGTCCAAGGAATTAAAAACAAAGACAAAAAATGCCCAAGTACATACATAGAGGACTATCAAAAAATGTGTATTAATAGGAGATTGGTGGGTGATTTGCTTTCTAGAGAATATTTATTGAGAGAGTATTTATTGAATACAATCTATATACTAGGAATCATTTAAGCAACTGGTGTTGAAAAGCAAAGATTCATCACTAGAACTTACATCCCAGTGAAAGACAGAAATAAACAAGAAAGCTAATGAGCAACTGAACTGTAAAGTAGGAGAGATGGGAATGATCACTAGGCAAAAAGGAAAAGGGGGGTTGGGGACTGGGAAGTGACCATGTTGGCAGCGTAGCATTACATTGGGAAGTCTGGACAGCAGTGACATGAGACCAGTGGCACTTACTTTGAGCTTGCAACCTTCATTCTGACACAGCTTCCTGACAAGGGCTCCAATGATGATCATAACCGTTTCCCTGATGTCGTTGCTTGCAAAGGAACCTTTGAACTTACTCTGTGGCCAAGCAGGGATCAAACAGATCATCAGAACACTTCAGCATTCCAGAGGGACACTTTCAGTTAAGAAAGGAACAAACTTCCCGGCAAATGATTTTGTGTTTACAGATAAAAAACTCAGAATTTCAATTCTGCAGCACTTAGAAACATGGTGTCTAGTTTAGCATGAAATCTTACTAGATCCCAGGTGATCTTACTCGTAGTCTGTGATTGCTCAGGCTAGTCTAGTCTTTATATGAACCAGGGACATCAATATGTGCATAGAAACAGCATGAAGATTTGATGCATCACATAGATGTTCCACTCCAGGGTTTTCCCCTTGGCCACATGGTGAGATAGGTGGCCATTATCTTCGGGCTGTCATAAAGTACAGGCTGTTCTGGTCACTAGACCTGCAAGACTCTAAGTGAGAAGATTTACTGCACTGTTGGTGCACAGAAAAGAGGCCAGAGAACTCTGAATGTGAATGCCAGGAGGGAGCTCTCTTTGCCCTCATCTCTCATTGGATCCACTTTAATGCCTGCTTATACTTAAGAAGTTTTTCGTTCATCACTTTTTAATTTCAGCAGCCCAGGGTCCCTATCTTCCCAATATCCCCGACTTACAAGGAGGGCTCGAAGGAGTTCTTCATCGGGGTGGGAGGCAAATCCACAGGCATAGAGGAACCTCTCCTGGAGAACAATGCTGCTGTCACTTTTGAAATCCAAAAAGTCCAGGATGGCTTCCAACGAGTCTGGAGTCTGAGCAGAGGTGACAGCATCTACAAGCTGAGGTCTGTAAGACAGGCATCACTTCAGATATTAGTGTTCACAATGAAGCTATCACAACCTTGTCACTCACTCACTAATTTGAACTTCCTCCCAAAAGTACATTTTTCCTTTGAACAAAAAAATGTGAATAATACATTCTCAAAGAGATCTTAATTCTACTTAAACATCTCTAATTCTTTCTCTTTTCTCAGAACATACAAACTACTACACTATACTCGCCTAAGCAAAATTCAATTTAAAGATTTATAAGTTAAAATTATGTAAATATTTTTCTATGTAATGCATAGAATCTGAAGTCCCAAACTGAATACTTTTCTCTAGTTAGATATGTAAATATACACACTTCTCAAATGTCTCATTTAGAGCACCATTATAGATAGAAAATGCATAACTATTTTAACTGCATGTGTAAAAGAGTTTTTTTTTTCCTTTAAAAATAAAAAAACCACCATGCTATAGCTCTATTTCATCCACAACAAATGTGTTATTGTCTTCCATAGAAAGATTTTAGTTAAAAACTAGTCATAAAAAGTTATCTTTGGTTAGTTGAGTCTGGGCATGATAAAATTTTTAACTGATTTTTCACACTAACAAACACATGAATATAAATACTACATATTGAGCTCATGCTCATAGTGGCTCAATCCAGTAATCCTAGCAGTAAGGAGGCTGAGGCAGGAAAATCAACTCAGGTTCAAGGTCAGCCTGGGCTACATAGTAGTTTCAAGATAACCTGGACTACAGAGTGAAACTTTATCTCAAAACATATCAAACAAACAAAGTTGATTAATAGCTTGAGCACACAATTCCACAGAAGCGAGGCAACCCCCTCAGCAGAGCGTGAGTATAAACCCGAGCCTGTACTAATTTAGACTCATGGACACAGAACCATAGCCATGAGAATCAGTGAAAATGGGTGTACTTCCGGCCAGGTGAGCATTGTGTTACTGACCTATAGACTCTGATTTGGAGATTTGGAGGTAGGGTAGAAGATTGGAAGGGGTCCTTGTTGCATAACAAAAGGATTAGAGAGGCAGCTCAGTGGTTCAGGGCACTGCTACTCTTGCGGAAGAACCAGGTTTGATTCCCAGCACCCACATGGCAGCTCACAACAACCTGCTACTCCACTTCCAGAGGACCCAACACTCTCTTCTGACCTCCAGGGGCAGCAGGCATGCATGCTACATACATGACGTAGCAGTGTTCAAACACATATAGTACATCATTTTTTTTTTAAATTAAAAGACAGTAACAGTGTGAAAACATTCTCTTGACAGATGACCCTGAGCAACAATGGGGGCTTACAGCACTTCCTTCTTCTCTGCCTTCAGGATCTGGAGGATCTCTTCTCTCCTTGCAGTCCTGAGGTGCTGAATGAAGGCCAGGAAGCTGCTGACGGCCTTGGCATTGGACAGGTTCTCAGGCTCTAGGTGTTTTCTGATAGACTGCCAGTGCTCCGCCAGCTGCAAACACAGGCACAGTGCACTTCATTCTGAGCTCCCAGTTTACAAAGGCAGCCATTCTCCACAGAGATGCAGCCGTCACCCAGCTCATTTCATGTGCAGTGTGAAGCTAGAAGCAAATACAGCGGCCTGCTCCTCTGGGGGCCATACCTCTGCAGTACCATGTCTGTGGGTGCTGAACTAGCAGGACCTTGGACAGCGGCCAAGTGATGTTTGGCTGTGTGGGTCCTTCCATGACTGTTGTGATGACTACATCTGAGTCCTGGGCTTTTAGCACACTAGTGAAAGAGTGCGGAATTTTAATTATCAGCAGGGTGTCTGGTATTTGTGAAGGGCAAAGTGAGAGCTGTTTCAGAGCTGCACACATTTTCTAACTTACTTGAACCTCGCTGAAAGTCAATTTTTCCAAATAGTTCGAGCTCCCTACTTTTCTTACAGAATCAGTTGTGTGAAATCCAGTGTCAGGCTGTTGTTAGGATCTGAACTGTCCAGAGATTGTATCTATGCTTAGGGGGCAGTATTGAGGAAAAGGCCATTTCTCGCCACTTCTGTTATCATACAGTGGTGTTAAAAACAGTAACGATTGTAGCCAGTGAATCTTTCTGCTTTGAAACAAGCCCCACTTCAGCATTTTTGTACCTCACTGCCTAGAACCTTACCCCCATCAGCCTGTGTGGTAAATCACCTGTGTGATTTACCTGTGTGTTAACTCAGCTGTGTGGTAAATCACCAGCCTTCTGTATTAAAATGATTGACTCCTTTATCGAATTAGCTGGTGTTTTTGCTGCAGAAAGAGAGAAAGGAAAAAAAAGGGAGGAAGGGAGGGAGAAGGGAGGAAGGGAGGGAGGGAAACAGGGACGGAGGGAGAAGAAGGAGGGAAAGAGGGAGGAAGAAGAAGAGAGGGAGGAAGGGAAGGAGAAATGGAGAGAGGGAGAAGGGAGGGAGGGATGGAAGGAGGGGAGGTGAGCAATTACAATCATTAGTCCTGAGTTTGTTCACACTTACAGAAGGGCATCCTTGGCAGGCACGCTGGAGGACCTGCCCCACTATGGGGATGGCTGTGTATTTTGAATCAAGTGCTTTAATCACGCCTGCAACTTGCTTCCCAGGCACCATCCTTGGGCCTGCCTCAGTCGTCTTCAGCTCCAGTTTCTGCCTGTGCAACACCAAATGGAAACAGCATATTATAAGAATGTATGTATGTATGTATGTATGTATGTATGTGAGAAAGAGGAAAAATACAGAAACTGCAACTCTTTAAGAAAACACAAAGCCAACTAACTTATTCCATTTATACCCGAGCTGCAGAATTTCCCAGCAACACCTTAAACCCCAAGAAAATTATAAAATTTCTCTGGTGTAATTATTTTGTTCAAATATTGGAAGTTAAGTCTAGACTTTCAAAATATCATGCCAAGAGAAAATTTGCTTGGGTGCTGGACAAGACATGGGGTGTCAGCCCTTTTGAGCTTAGTCCTGCTTTTTGAAAATCATGTTCAAGGCAATCACATGTCATCTATTAACCAAGACAGCCAACAAAGCTTGTTGAGACCAAAAAAATGGTCTCAATAGTGACTTTTTTCTGATATACTTTCCTAGAGTTTTGTCTTTCTGTCATCAGAAGATAGGAAAACCTAGTACTTAGTATATGTTACTATAGATTGTATGAAAAATTAAGATGAATAAGTTGAACTCAAAAATTTTTCAAGGACTTCATTCCTAAAAGAAGCCATGTGTGATGCACATGGACACACACACACACACACACACACACTTATTTACAATAATGTATAAAAGTTGAATATAATACTGTATGAAGGGAAATAAAAGTTTTGTCTTACTTTGATACTATTTTTCCTGCAATGGTTTGTGGGAAATTCAAGGAAAAATCCCTTGTCTCTTCTGCATGCACAGCTGTGACAAAGCTGTCCTCTATCTTATAGGTGGTGACAGATTTGGCTTTTGAACTGACACCCAATACCTGCATGAATAAAGAAATAAGTGAATGAGTAGAAAGTAATTATCCTTGATCTTCAATTGAATCAAACAGCAGCTGTCTTTCCATTTTTCAAAAGATGCCTCTTTTACAGGATTGCCCATCATCCACACCCACAGAACATTTAAATATCTACTCACTTGGCACATGTGAAAATATAACCTAAACTAAAAATGATAAACGTCTTCACGTCATACTGCTTTGTTCTCTCCTGTTATCTTAAAGCTCTACAGAATGCCACTATTGAATGCCCCCAGAAAGCAATACCTGCCATACCTGATTTTACTGTTGTAAATCCAGCCCTCTCAATTTTGCATGTATCCAGGGCCTTAATCTTGACCACTTTGTCATGCTGAGCCTGGTAGGTCACTTTGCAATCCCCAGAGATATCTACCTGGAACAGAAGTAAGAGCATACTGTTTGGGATGTTGTGCAGACCATCTGTGTTCTTCGGGAAAGAGGCTTCATTCCTGGGCTCCATAATATGCCATGGCAGAACCCCACCTCACCCCAGGGTGACATAACAAAAAGCTTAAGTACTCAAGGGCTCCTACTGGGGTGCTGTTTCTCACTTTCTTCCATGGAGTCTTAAAAACGCCTCCTCTGCTATCCCAGGAATCATGGACCATCCTATTTCTCTCTGAGCGTAACTGAAATCTCTGGTCACATGGTAATTATCTGGGGAGGGGGAGGTATTTTTACAGGCTGTATCAAGATGGTGTGTGATTTTTAATAGAAACATGATCATTATTCTTGAGACCCATGGAACTGACTAAATCCATTGCTACTCATAATAAAATATTGAGTTTAGACAAAAACACCTGAATATGGACTCTGCTCTGCTCCCGCAGCTTTTGCTTTGGGTCTCCTGCTGGTACCACATCTCCTGCTGCAATGAGGTATGCATGAGGTAAGGAATGAGGCTAACCCTCATTCCCTCATCCCTCCTCTCATGGACTGGAAGACTTAAGACCAGGAAAGCTGGTGTACAGCTTGGCTCAAATCTGATAGCTGGAGATCTACTTAATTCATTTCTATTTCTTTTCTGAATTAGGGGACTTGGGGTAAGTATTGACTCTACACACTGACACTGCATTCCAAATAGCTATGATTACTAAAATGCAGGTGTTCAGCTTTTTGTTTATTCATGATTTTTATCATCCTCTGGGGTAAATCCAGGGACTGTATTTCTAATATGCTGCCCCACAAGACAGCAGCAGAACAGAGACACCTGACAACTATCGGGTCCCCAAGGTTTTCTGCATATGTAAAAATTATTCAAAGTCCTTTTAATATAGTTGATTTCAATTCTTTAACTCTGTATTTAATCAATAAATAATTTCATATGTAAATGAGATATGACTACCCAACCTAAGTCAACTTTTCTAAAACAGTACAGAGGTTGTACTTTTCTGTGGAATTTCAATGGGCAGAAATTCTTATAAACAGTTTTGAAATGCCCTTTGACAAGATGTTGATTGATTGATTGATTGGCCTACTTATTTATTTTGTAGTACTGAGGCTTGAACCAGGCCTCATGTATGCTCAACAAACTCTACTACTACTGATCCATATCCCCAGCCCATTTTTATATTTTATTATTGCTAGAGAGGTATTTGTGTGTTATGAAGGTATATGTGGTAAATGCATGTGTGTACACCTGTGTGCATGTGTGTACATCTGAGTGTATGCGTGTATACATACTTAATGTGTTTTCCTCCATCACTTTTTCCTTATTCTCTTGAGAAAAGGTCTTTCACTGAACCTGAAGCTTGCCGCTTGGGTCAGCAGGGCTGGCCAGTGCACTCTTGGAAGTCACCTGTCTCTGCCTCTTGCACTGGGTACCAGCACACAAGTGGCCACACCCAGCTTTTGTAAGGATGGTGGAGATCTGGTGGGTTTTGCTAAGTTACCCAGGCTGTCTCAAAGTTACTATGTGGCCTGGGCATACCTTTGCTTAAAATCTGGCTTTAGCTCCCAAGTAGCTGATATTATAGTTGGACCCCCCCTCCGCTTACCCTCACCAAGATGCTGAATTCTTAGAATCAGCACTAAGTACCTCATTGGTGGTTCCAGAGCTTAACTGCATCTGGAACAAGCTAGCCAAGCCTCTCTTGAGATTTTCTATGCCCACAGGCTCATTTTCATATGAGTAGAACTCTTTGACCTAAAGGGAAAAAGAAATAATAAAACAAAGGTCATTGTTCATCAGATCTGGTTAAACATGTGGCCTGAGGGCCAGGTTCTCACCCCTACTGAAGGTGTGAGATAGTTAGCACAAAGCTGTGATTTCTTTCTGTGAAAAGAAGCAGGTTTTATTTCTAAGAAGGACATCAGGACACGGGGCGTAGGAGCCAAAAATGAAGAATCTGAACGTAATGACAGTTATTACAGAGTCAGGAATTTCTGTGAAAACCAGGGCTGTGAAAGGAGGAACTCTAAGAGCATGCCTTTACTTCATATCACACACTTTTCTCTTATAACTCTGCCTGGAACACAAACTGACCAATGAAGAGAATGACAATTGCCACAAAAGGCAGATTCCTGAAAGGGCCTGATGTCTGCAGGCTACAGCAGGGCCCAGGTTTGCCCACAGACAGAACCTAGACAGTCAAAGTGTTTGCACAGAGAGCGAATGCTGATGCTGCTCTGGGCAAAATACAGAGAGGCTGGAGGACCTGCCGGGTTGTCTACTACACAGCCTGCCCGTGGCTACTGTTTAAGGTTCTCCTTAGAAGGCGGGGAAGATAGAAATGAGAAGAGCGATTTGGCAGGAGTAGGAAATGATGTGACTCTGTTTTATCCTTGCCATTTATGGGCACCGTGTCTTTTATTATTTTAATGAGTCAGCCCATCTTTAAGAAACAGCACAAAAAAGTCAAGAGAAGGTTTTAGAAAGCAGCCTACTGTTTTCTCCTCGGATTGACTTTAAACACATCACATGGTTTAGACGCAAAGGACAGGCACGCCTTCCCTGTGAAACTTATCACGGTCTTCAGAAGCTGTGGCAGAACACTTCCGGCCCCCAAATTCCCAATGCTTTCCTAATTCTCAAAACCCAAACATAGAATCTCAAGTAAAACAGAAAGTTCAGTAATGTGGTAAATTTAATTACTACCAATCCCAATAATTCAGCCTACCTAAAAGTCTCTTAGAAGACAATATTGTACCTGAATTAAGCTCCCAGGTGCCTCAAATCCCTATTTTTACTTCCTAGACATGCTCTGCCTGGGGACAGGTTTTCTGGCTACTGTATCTATGATCAGTTTTAGTCACTCCCCTGCATAACCCTGCAGTGTTAGAATAGTGTTGTTTGTGCTGGTTAAAAGGGAACTGTGACAGTGACCTCACTGTCTGAAAATCCAGGGATCATGTTCTCAAACAAACCACTGGCCATTTCTCAAATCCAAGTTGGCTCCCCGATGCTCTATACTATAAACTGGATTTCCTTCCTTTAGTAATAACAGTAAATAATCTGGAAAGCATCAACTCGGAGACACAACTGGTAGCTATTGTTTTTCTACAACTAGAAAAGTAGACAAGCCTTTTGCTTTGCCATTTGTACGGCTGCTATTTCAGAAGCCAAACTGTTCATTATTAGAACAGGCCAATGTGAACCCAAGTAAAGATAGCATCCTTATTCATATGCATCAAACATCGAAATCACTTAACAGTGATAATATTAATAAACTGGAACTTTGAAGTTTGACCCGTGTGTCTGTCACAGCAGTAATCTTAAATTCACTGTTTCACAAGAGGAACTGAGTATGTTTTATGGTGTTCAGGTCATAAAGCTGATAACTTCATCTAGTTCTGAAATGAATTCTAAATACCCGAGTGCTCAGGCCTCTGGTCTGAATCCTCAGTCCCCAGAGCTCAGAGAACAGCAGGCTAAGCTTTCCACACAAGGAGCTCAAACTGAGAGTGAGGCCAGACAGACTGGCAGGAACGCCCAGCATCGTGTGCTCAAATCTGGAGCCATTTTTCCTTGGAACTGTATTTTCCCTTAGGAAAAAGATGTCCCTTGTAGTCATGGACTCAATCAGAGAAGGCAAATTTACATCCTTGCCTAAACAACAAAAGACAAGTTGAACTGATCCTGACAAACAGGGATTCACCATTTTATCTTTGATATTTAACTAAGACCAAGCATGGGTAGGAAGTATGGGACCGAAGAAAATGAAGACATGGGTGATTTTGACAGGTGCCACCCACAGCTAGCACCTTTGCAGGGTCAGTGTGTGAGCAGGAGCTTCAGAGCCAGGTTTAGATAGCAGACCCACACCAGGAAACAATGTAAAATAAGAGGCCAGCTTAATTTTATCAGTACAGACAACCAAAACTAAATAGGCACCTTTTGTGTGTCAGTGTTCATGAACTTCATGTGTAACTGCCATGTTCCCAACTTAATTTGTTGCATGTGAACAAAATCAGATCATGCCCAAGCTCTTGCATATGGTTAATGAGTGATTGTGGGAAAAAGAAAATAAGCAATGAATATGTATATAAGGGTTTTGTTAGGTTCTTTCATAACGTAAATATGGGAGTTTTCGATGGGGAGAGGAGAAAGGGGGCTCTAAAAAAAAATCAAAAGATTCTCTGGAAATCCCAGGGATTTTGTGTAGAATTTAACTTTGGTCTAGGGCAGAAATATCCTCCAAGAGAGTTGTCCCTCAGCCGTTTCCCAGACTTTGCAATTTCTCTCCTCGTAATCTGAAATGACAATGACCTTTCTAACATCGATGTGGCCAGGAATTCCCTTTGACATCTTAGTCTACAGGGTCGAGCCTTCTCTGGCTATTTTGTTGTACAATTGAGAGATATATAATAATGTACTTTAACCCGTGGCTACAGCAAATCATCACAGACCACAGTTGCCATTGGACTGGCACTGAAAGAGTGATGTGGCAGCTTTATCCAGCCTTTGATCAGTGAGGGCACCGAGTTCTTATGTGTGTGTGTAACAAGACTTTGTACTCAGCTCCTTTCAAAGACACTGAAAATTCACAGGTTGAAGTTAAGATCATAAACGCAATCAATATTTAATAGACTCAAGAAGCTTGCCACTTTGGAGATGCAGAGAAGAAAATACCTGTGTTTTGTGTTAATAAAGTTGAGCCATATGCAAATCAAGTAAGTAAATACACGCGGTGAACAATAAAGTAAAGAATTCTTCAAGTCAGCCAGGGGGACAATGAGAGAACAACGGAACATAGAAGTTACGGCCTAGACTGTACTTGAAATGTCAGCTTCATGACCTGTCAGCTCGGTGCCCTTTGGAAACTTTCTTAACTTCTCAGAACTCTAGTTCCTCGTCTGCCACAGGAGGATAACACAGCAGCCACCTCCTAGGTCTGTGACTAGCACAGGGGACAACGTTCTTGGTGTCTTCAGGCAGAGCTCAGTACGCTCTAAGCACTGCATTCCGTGTTCTTACCACTAACTGAATCATACGCCAAGACCATTTAGCCTCACATCAACTTTTGTGTCTAACCCTTTACAAACATTCACTGAATTTTCACGTTGCTGAATGCAATAAGAGAAAGACGTGCTTGTTGCTCACGAAACTTGCTGCTACTGTGGACAGAAGACAGAGAACTGTAATGCACTGTGACGAACATTTGAATAGAAATCATCTCAAGGGGTGGTGGGCTTTGGGGGATGTTAGGGGAAGCTTTATGGATACACCAATCAGCACAAGGTGGAGATACTCTGGGGGAGGGGAAAAGAGACATGGAGCCCAGAGTAGAAGGGCTGAAATATAATTAGGATTGGGCATTTTCTCTGCTGAAAGTTATAAACTAGCAATGAATATGGATGGCTAAAGAAAAAAGGGGAGGCGATGATTGAGTTCCAAAGCACTAAGGGTGTTGTTTCCAGCTGGCCAAGAGGGTGTGGCTGTCACCAAGAAGCGGGCTATATGAACAAAGCTTGAGTCAAGGCAAGGTTCTGTCAGGTGGAGAAAGCGAAAGGCACTCTGAGACTGGAGTTTGAATTTTATGTGAGGGTAGCACATGCCCACCTCTGAGTTCTTTCAGGATTTCATAACCAAAATGTGCATCCTGGTTTGCATTAGAGGTTTCTGGCATTTTTATATTAAACTACTTCTCATCATGATTTCGAGGGAGAAAGTTGAACGTTGGAGACAGGCAAAATGACAACTGTAACTCTCCCTATATCTCCCTATTGTTTTTCTACTTCATGGCTGCACTTGAGCTCACATCTTCCTGTGTGAATAGAACACCCACAGCTTTCCAAAACCACAACGTGGAATGCCTGGTAATGGGCTGTTGACAATTGCTTCTCAGTTCCAACATATTAACACCTTAAAATAGGCTAGAGTTAAATCATACGTAAAATTCCTGAAAACTTACAGAATTTCCATACTGGGCTTCCAGGTGGATATTACAATATTCATCCATCACCGTGCAAAATTTAATGCTTTTCCAAGTCATATTTATAAAGAATGTCTCAACGTTTTGAAAGCCACTGTGTCTTCAACATGACACAGCAACATGTGCTTTGCCCAGACAGATATCCTCACAAGTTCCATTATTTACCCAAGCTCTGACCTTCTGATCTAATCTGCCCCCTTTCCTGAACTTATCTAATGTGCTGTAATGATTCTCTATGCTACACTAGCTCTGCAATCCTTCCTAACTTAGTAGGTAGTAAGAGATGCACTTACCAAGCAATGTTCCTCATCCATAAGTCAATACTTCATTCTGTTACAAGACTTTAAAGAGAGAGAGAGACAGAGAGAGAGAGAGAGAGAGAGAGAGAGAGAGAGAGAGAGAGAGAGAGCAGCTAGGAAATAGAATTGAGAGCATGATTTGATTTACTCTGGAGATGTTTAAGCAGCAACACAATGGTTCCCTTAGAGCCCTGCCTGCTGAAAGGAAGCTCAGACGTTACCTTCCCCCGGACTAGATGAAGAAGCATGGGTCTCTGCAGAGCATCCAGGTTGTCCTTTCCTATGATCTTAGGGGTAGTTTTGCCCTTGAAGATGTTCTTCTCTCCTCTCTGTTTGTTCACATTTTCAACATTGACAGCCGTTATCTAAGGTCAAGAAAAGGAAACTATTAGGAAAAAATTCCCACAACTGCCTCTTAAAAATAAAGTGGTAAAGGCAACCAATCGAGGCTGTCATGTCTCCAAATGTGGATTCACAGGACTTGTCACTCACATTTCTCGACAAGTGCCTTAACTAAGCTATGGCGCTTCTCCTTGCCATTCCCTTTAAAATGGAGAAGGTTTAACTTGTCAAAAGTGACAACACTTAACTCTGGGATCTTGAGTTACAACATATGTGACTTGAATTTGGCCCTTTGTGTCACTGTCACTTTCCGGACTGATTTTGGACAGCCGTTGTCTACCTCATCGTCTCCCTGTCTGTGATGTGTCTGAAAACATTTCTGCCCATTCTGCCTCCTTGTGTTTATAAAATGAAAGGTGAACAGCTGAGTTACAGAATAAGATGCAGGCAAGGTCTTCTGCAGAGAAGCTTGCTGTCCTAGTGACAGTGACTCAGAGGAATGCATGGTAATGTCTTGATCTAACTTTGAAAATACAACAACCACTGGAAACATCCAAAGAAATAGCAACAAATTGTCAACTCTGTTGCAATAAACAATAAACCTTACTATAAAAAGCTATTTGCTCAATGTACTTGGGCCAGTGGACCTATTTAACAGTAACCTGCAGAAGAGAATGTAACTTTAAAAGCAATCCATTGCTATTAGTTTCCTGGAAAGCAGGATTACAATATACCAACATTATAAAGTCCTACAAATCTAAACCATCATGGCTGACCAAAGGCTGTCATCCTGTGGAGTGTTTGGTTCCTTCTATAAGAGGCTCTGCCCCTCATCAGACCTGTTAACATCAACCTGTTCAACAAGGCCTCCCCTAATGCATCTCCATTTCAGTCTCCACGGTTCTTTGTGTGACATCCATTGCAAATCCCTTCCTCCCAGGACATTTGAATGGATTCCAAGACAATGTCCCTATTCGTATTAAGACGGTATAGGGAACTGGAGGTCAGACTTCAGTCACTCGGCAGCATGGAGCAGCCTACTTCAACAATTTGGAGAAAACTCACTATTGATGAGCAACAACTTCAAAGTTGTGGATGCCTCACTTGTTAAGCCAAGCATAACCAGTAGCACGAGCAAGTGCTGCTGGGTGGTGTATTTCTGACACCTAATCTTAGTGTAGTGCTGTTTGTTTGTTTCATTTTCGTAGAAAATGCCCACCGTGACTTGGATCAGTTGGTCATCGTCGCCATCAGGATTCCTCCACAGTAACACAACATCCACATCAGATGCGATCCGGTAGCCCACGCTGTCTTGCACTTTTCCTTTACCCCCATCAAGAAACACTTCCGTGGAGTAGGTGAGTTTGTATAGCCGCTCATTATTTAATGAGAGACCAGTTGTGTGACCTACATTAAAGAGGGGCACAGGTCAAGTTTCAATTGCCAGGCACCTGTCAGGTCTGAGAACATACTGTCTTACCACGGGCGCATCCTTCCAGCTCAGTGGAGCTTAGCAAGCACCTGTGATGGTGTGCTTCTCCGTCTGCTAAAAGCATCGACTTAAAAACCACAAATAAGTAAGTTAACTGACAAGCATACAACAAGCTTCCATTTCAGAAAACTGGTGTTTATATCCATTATCAAGTCATCTTCATATTGCCCTGGTTGAACATAAGACAGTTTTTAAAGCAACAATCATGTTGCTTTCAATCAGCTGACTAAAAGTTCAAGCAGAGGTCTTGGCTGGAATTGCTTTGCAAATTCAGTGAGATCATTTGTAATTATTTAAAATTATATGTGCATGGGTGGTTTGGCTACATCTATGTACACTAAATGCATGCGGTGCCCAAAGAGGCCAGAAGAGGGTATTGGGTATGCTGGGACTGTAGCTAAATATAGTGGTAAGCTACCATGCAGATGCTGAGAACCAATCCCAGCTCTGGAAGAGCAACAAGTGCTTTTAATCAAAGCACCGGGTCCATCTTTACCACACTGTAATTAATACATTTTTAAATCCAGCAGCTGAGGGTCAAAAAGTGTTAGTTATCACACACACAAAAAAAAAAAAAATCCTTTCATTTGTGTACTTGCTGCTCTTAAAGAATTTTTTTCTTTTGTAGTTTTCGCTATAAGCTTAATTATCAAACTTGTCCAAAGAACATTCCAGTGGTGGTTGTGGTGGTTCATATATATAACCCCATATATATATATAACCCCAGCACTTTGAGGGCTGGGAAGATGCCCATGAGTTTGAGGGAAGCCTGGGCTATATAATGATTCCCAGCAACTCTGAACTACATAGTGAGTCCCATGCCAACCTAGGCTACAATATGAGACCAAGTCTCAAAAACCAAAAGTAAATAAATAAAAATAAAATAAATCTGTACCCAGGTATATTATTGTATAGTAATATTTTTAAGAAAATATTTAAGAGCCAGCTATAAATAAGTTTAAATTAATTGTGCCTGAAAAAAAGACAATGAATTACCTAAAATTTTAAGATGAGCTTTAATTTGGACAGGGGGGTTTAATCAAATACCTTGGAAGTCAGTATTAGGAGCCAAAGAATCTACAAAGGAGATGTTCACGCAGTTTCCAGCTCAATTTAACCCATTCCCAAGACACGGAAAGGGGAAGGATTACAGTTTTCTCAGAAACAACATGTTTATGATCACATAAGCTGGCCTTGTATATTTCCTGTGTCGCTCACTAGATTCAGTCAAGGATTCAGTGTATCTCTTCTTCCTTGGAGTCACTGGAGTTACTTTGTCAGTGAACTCTACCACAGAGTCATAACTTACTTTCCCCTTGAGGAGTATGCACATAGCCAGGGGTAGTGGAGTATGCCTCCAATCCCAGCACTTGGGAAACAGAAGCAGGTAGATCTCTATGAATTTGAGGCCAGCCTAGTCTACATCAGCTTCTGCCCACCCACCCCAAGCTACAACTGCATAGTCTCCAAGAAAAAGAAACCAACGCACGTTGCCTCAAGATTATGTGCTGACATTCATAAAAATTTAGTAAGCTCAGCCTTGGTCAGTCCATTTTGAGACGGGGTCTCTTTATGTATCCCAGGCTGGCCTAGAACTCTTCTTTCTCTTGCCCTTTGCTCCAGGTGCTTGGATTAGAATTTTGCACCAGACTTCTGGCTCTGAGGTGGGCATCACTATTCTTCATTAGATGAGATTACACCATTTTCTCAGGATTACTCAGGTAATTAAAAATGGTGACATGGTGGCAACTCTGTTCCTAAAGATCATGTTCTTTACTACAAACCCTTAAAATTTTAGACTGAGTTCTCTTTCATTCCTAGGAAATGAGCTGGGAATTCCTTCTTTCCTTTAGCAATGATGCTCCGAGAAACTCCTAGGATATGTGCAAGTTTCTAGAGTCAACTACCATGTCAACAAACAAGAAGACAAATTTTCTACTTTTATGTAGCTAATATTTATGTGACGAGGAGCTAGAAAATAGAATATAGATAAATAAGTGGATGAGGAAATACCATAGAATGGCAGGCATGCTAATAGAGACAAATCTACCGGAAAGGGAATGCCTCTGTGAGGCAAGGTCAGCTTTAGGCTGGCCACATGAGCATCTGTAGCGAGAGTCACACTCCGCTCCTCCCACTCCATTCTCAAAGAGAGTGGCAAGTGCAAAGGCCCTGGAGAGGGCTCATGCAGATCCAAGTGCAGCAAGAAATGGAATTCACTAAGTAAACAACACAGATGAAGACCAGGAGGTTGAATGGGTGCCTCGGGCATCCGGGAGACTCATCAGGGACAAGTCCAGACGCCTGGAGTTTGAGATAGGAAGCTGACCAAGGTTCAAAGGGAGGACAAGGGTTTCAATAGGCATCCAGAAGAGGCAGGTGACAGATGAGTGTGAGCTGGCATCACACAAAACAAAGTGCAAACAACAAGTCAGCCAAGCCTGGGGCATGAGATACAGAAGGAAGATGGAGTTAAGAGAGAGAGAGATCTATCAGATTCCATACAGGGCACAAAAGTACTGCACGCTGTCTTATCAAATCCTCACAGCGGTTGTGAAAGATAAGCGGTACAGGAGAGCTGACAAAGACTGACTCTAAATTCAGCCCCCACACGGTGTGGACTCAGAGGTTTAGGTTTTATGAAGGCGTTCAGAGCTAGTGTGCTGATGTTTTCTTAGCTTTTACTTTACCAGGAACAAGGAGCATGGGACATATCAGCTCCTGACTGCACTGGGACCGTGAGTGAAGCCTAGAGCAGGACGGGCCCTGCTCTCCCTCGGCTTCCCTGACCTCTGTCTACAGGCCTCAAGTGTCTGTCCTTCCCATCAAATGCTCCAAGTTTAAGATGATCCAAACAGCTGGACTGTGCTTCAGTGTTACTTGGGACTCTACCCCTGATCTTTCTCTGATTCTTTTCAGGGATCTGGCAACACTGAGCATCTGAAATACGAGTGACTTAGGTTCAATTTTAGGCTATTGCTCTTTAGAGTAGACATAATGCATTTTTTGTTCGAAAAGTCGAGGCAGTGTAATAGCCCTGCTAACTGGCTTAAACAAGGAGGCAAAGCAGAGGTAAGTAAGAGTGAGGCTTCAGAGGTAAGGGAAGAGGAGGAGTTTAAGAATCTGGTAGAAAAGTGTAAGGCAGATAGGAGAGATGGGATGTGATTAATGCAAATGGACTAGAAACCAGGGTGGGGTCAGAGACCAGTGAAGACCAGAAATGAAGAAGCCAATATGAAGGGTAGAGGTGACAAAACAAATGGAAAGTAAAAGCCCTACATTAAAAAAACAAAACAAAACCAACCCGGGTCAGCACTGAGAACAGCTCCATTATTGCCCTGCAGTCAATTACAGCCAGGGGAAACTTGGGCCTACAAGTTCACACTCAATAAATCAGACTGCCTTCCATGCTACCTTCATCCTAAGGTTAGTAGGAAGGTAGAGTTGTCTCATGTCCTTTCCTGGTTAAATATCAATTGCAGAGGCAAAGAATCTACAGTCAAATCATGTTCCTCTAACACCAAACAAAGGCTACTCCATGTGGATGGAAAGAACAGTCCTGTATTGTATCTTGTGACGTTTAGTGTAAGAAGGTCTTTGAAACGAAATTCAGAAACTCCTGCGAAGAAGCAGAAGCTCTGGGCCCCTCACTTGCCCAGGGTTCTTGTAAGACTTTGGAAGGGAAGAGGGCCCGAGCCACCTGTACACAGTCCTTATCTTTTCTCAGTAACCTTTGTAAGCACAAGATATTTTCATAGTGTTTTATTGGAGACAGCCTTTCAGTTGCACAAGCTTTCAGTTCTGAAAACCTGGATTTGTCACTGAGCTTGTACACAACAAACTGTCATGCTCTAGGCCACATTTTCCCCATGCGCAGGAGGCATGCCTGCATGCTGTTGGTGTGTGCTCGCATGTGTTATGACTGTGTGTGTGTGTGTGCGCAAACGTGCGCGTGTTTGCTGTGTTTCCTTTACAGAATGGGAATTCAGAAAGAAGCCACAGTAACTACTGTATCACCATCACTTTTCAAAAGTAATCATAATGTGGGGCTCTATAGTATACTGTTTAAATCATAGACAAACAGTAAAACACTGCCTTCTAACAGTTCCAAGTCAAATGTGATTTACAAGTTTTTGTTTTTCGCCTTAGGAAGGGTTGTCTCTTAGACTCTAATGATTTTTGAAAATGCTAAGAACATTTGCTCCAGTTTAAGAGTATATTTGCTCAGGTGAAATAATTGAATTGTAGCCCTCTATATCTTGCTGTAATAACAGCTCTTCCATGTAGAAATTTCATACACACAAAAACTCTCAAGGCAAACTTCACTTTATGATCAAAAGTCACATTTATCCCAAACTTTACAAGTTTATGTGCCTTCAGATCGATTGGTTTTAACAGTATATCTTTTTATGAGCTATAAAAAAGTGGCATCTTTACACAAGGCAACAATCTGAAGGCCGAAGAGTTTATAAACTGGTGGACTCATAGATTACCTATCAATACATTTGAAACCATTCCTTGTGAAATTCTTTCCTCCTGTTTTTTTCTGATATTATCAATTTGTGTGTGTAAAGGTATTTTTGTCTTAAAACAGAAACGGTTAACTAGTAACACTATTTTTAAAGATGTCTTATTTCTTAAATCCATATTATAGAGCTTTATTTTCTTTAATTCACTGAGTTGGATTATTCTATGCCCTTTGAATGCCAGCAGAATTCCAGAATGTTATACCATTTCATTCATAAGGCTTTGGCAGTCAAATGTCTCTCCCCCACCCACCCATCCCCAAATTGGGTACGATTCTTCTTGCTGTCCATTGCTAAGCAACTAGATGTAAATTTCGGAACTGGTTTTTTAAATCCTATTTTACAATTCAAATGAAGGCCCTGCATTTTGTGTGTCTGTCAGCAGCAGGTAACAATAGCTCAAATCTTTTTCCAGGAATAACAAACCCAAGCTAGAAACACACTGGTCTAGGGGATGGCGGGCTGAAACAAAAAGGGGCCTCCACTCTTGTAAAACAGAGCCAGAAATTAAATTTTTTCACTTCCACTTATTCACTTACCCCCAAATATTCCAACCTTATATACTTTCCAAAAATTGTGTACTTAGGCACCACACACACACACACAAACACACACACACACACACACGACTGAAGTTCAGGAGATGGCACACACACTTACCTTTAACAGAGGCAGAGTAGGAGGAGAAGAAGCAGAGGAAAAGGATTGCGAGGAGGATCATGCTGCCTGGCTATCCTCTGCTGCATCCACTCCCCAGGAGTCGCTGAGAAGCCGACTCTTCTGGAGGCAGCCAGCAAGGAAGTGACCCTCCTCAGAATCTGCGACAACTGTTTATCTATAGGGGAAAGGTCAGATTCCAAACTCCAAAATCAGGACCTAAGTTCATGGAAGGGCTGACTATTAATGATTAAACATTGGTGGGCTATAGCTTTTGGTCTTTCACTTTTAAGAAATGTGTTTCATTCAAGAAAGGAAATCAAGGAGGTCTTGAGAGACAAACTAAACCAGTTCATACTCCTTCAGATGCAGAAGCACCGAGGGGCCAAAGAAACAAACAAACAAACAAAAATAAAGCAAACAGAAATCCTGGTTGTGATACTTTCCTGCTCAAGTACAAAATCACCAAAACTAGAACATTAACTGCCTGTTGGAATATCTCCCTGATTACAATAAAAAGAGGGAAGTCCAGTTAGCCCCAACCCCACTGAACCCGACTGAACCAGAACACATCATCTGCTCATTCATCTATTTATTTATTGGCCTTTTCTGAGACAGTTTCCCTTTTGTAGCCTTAGCTGTCCTGGAACTCGCTCTGTGTAGACCAGGCTGGACTCAAAATCACAGAGATCAGCCCTGCCTCTGCCTCCTGTACGCTGGGATTAAATGGGTGGGCTACCACAACCTGACTTATTTTTTAATTTTTATACTAGTCACAAACCATTATAAAAACCACTCTTACCTTTATAACTTTAACTAAGTCAGACCACCACTGATAAAGATAATATTGTATTAGACCTTCTTCTATGCCGGAAATGTGGCTAACTGTTCTAAGACTGTGAAACTACAGAGGCTGGAACAGACCAGGGAGGCCACCATGAATGTGTTAGAAGGACAACTGAAGGCACCAGAGCAGACCTCTGCACCAACAGGGAACACTATTCGGGTCCCCAGACTGGGGACCAGAATCCTGTCTTTTCTGAGTTGGATTTCTTTTCCTTCCTTCCTTCCTTCCTTTCTTCCTTCCTTCCTTCCTTCCTTCTTTCTTTTCTTTTTTTTGGGGGGTGGTGGTGGTGGTGGTGTTCAAGACAGGGTTTCACTGTATAGCTCTGGCTGTCTTGGAACTCACTTTGTAGACCAGGCTGGCCTCAGACTCTCAGAGATATGCCTGCCTGAGTTGCACTTCCAAGAGATTCAGAGGATGAGCTCCAGTTCTCACCATTTTTGCAGCAGAATATTTGTTAGGAAATCTCTTTAAAGCGAACGCCTTTGTATAGTTAAAGGCACACTAGCTGAGTCAGCCAACACTTGCCACTGGTAACTGCCAGAGTCCTGGCAGAAACAGGCGCACTTCTAACATGAAGTGGCATGGTATGTCTGTGGAGGGGAGGCAGACAAAGAAACTCTGGTACCAAGGGTTATTGGAATATCTATGAAAAAGACTCATGGCCATGTTTTACATAGAAAATGGGTTCTCCCCTAACCTGGAGCTTAGGTCTCTTAGACAACTTAGGTAAACGAGATAGCAAGCAATAGGGCTGCAAAAGGAAATGTAAAATTTAAAACCCTCCAAACTGAAACTTTTCCTTTAATGTGCATTTCATATGCAAAACTGAAAGGTGAAAATTAATTTAATCTTCTCTTAAGAGTAGGACTTCATTTATTATTACCAGTTTTCCTGGGGCCAGACAGAAAAGGCATTCTCTCTCTCTCTCTCTCTTTCTCTCTCTCTCTCTCTCTCTCTCTCTCTCTCTCTCTCTCTCTCTCTCTCTCACACACACACACAGCTTTACAGGGTACCAGGCATTCATATACAATGAAAGTGCTTGGCACTTCCTTTTTATTTAGTTGCTGTTGTTACCATATTTTTTCTTTTTTTAAATAATAAATCATATTTATTTTCTTTTTGTAATTATTTTTATTTTACATGTCAATCCCAGTTCCCTCTCCCTCCCTCTTACCCTCTCTGCCCTCTCACATGCACCCTGACCACCCTCCCCTCCCCTCCCCCCCACCCCAACTCCATATGTAGGGGAATGCCATCCAGTTGGGGTCAAGTAGATCTGACAGGTCATTTGAAGTAGGGACTGGGACTTCTCTCCTATCTCTAGGTTAAGGCAGTTATCCCTCCATGGGGGATGTGTCTACAAGGTCCTTTTGTGCACCAGGAATACATCCTGGTTCCAGTGTCTGAGGTCCCTTAGACTGCTCAGTCCTTCTGGCTGAGACCCATATTCAGGGGGGCCTGAGTCAGTCCCATGCTGGATTCCCAGCTATCAGTCTGGGGGGGCCTTTAGCTCCTCCTTGTTCAGGTCAGCTGTCTATGTGTTTCTGCAACCTTGTTACCATAATTTTTAAACATGACACTTTACTGTGGAGACCTGGCTGACCTGGACCTCCAGGGGAAAAACAGAATGGCTTTCCATTCAGTGATCCTCCTGTCTCTATCTCCCAGGTGCTGGATTTAAACACATGTGCTACAAGGTCTTTCTCGCTTTGCTTTAATTTGAATAGATCTCCAGATGTGTCCACAGTATTAGATAGGTAGATATAAAAGGCCTTCATAGTCACTTATGTTATGCTCACATACGTATGTATTTCAGCCAAGACCTATTTTGAATGTAAGAACTGTCTTGTATTTTCATCTCAGTCACAGTTGCATACATTTACAGCTATCGTAGAGTATGTGGTGTGCGATACGTGTCTCTTTGGGTAAAGTTCTAGTCGTTGTCAGGAGGTTGTATCAGAGTCCAACCAATAAAGAGCATATCACTATTACCTAATCAAGGGAGTGCTGTTTCATTTGAGCATTTGATTTCCACTAGGACGCACAACATTCAGTAATCATTCAACACAAGACATGCAATAGGCTGCTTCTGTTGGTCACAACATCATCCATTTATATTTGGCATATAGTTCTCTTTTTACAAAGACATGGGAGAAGATGTATCATGATTGTTTTGCTGAGATGAACTAAGAAGGGCAAACACTTCCACAGTCACAGAACTCGCCTTGATTGCTCTGTCACACAGAGCAAGCCATGTACAGTATATGTGAGAGACATCTCCTAAACTCACCAGCTGGTTTGCATGGCACATGAAGCAGGAAAGGATGTCAACACAGAACGAAGTAACAAAAGTTGGCCTTAATACTGTACTGTACATTTGGCCATCACAACAGTCACTTCCTTTTGGCTCAGGTTACTTGATTAAAACTACTTTAAGGAACATAGCAATACTTGATTGCTTAAAAAGCAATCTTTGCTTGCTTAAAAAAACATTAAAGTTGGGATTACATAAGAAATTGAATTTTTGAACAATTGATATTGTTATTAATTAAAGAGGATGTTCTTAAATATGACAACTTAATGTGGAAGTTGATAGAACAACTGTTTTTGTGATGGGTACTCCAGGCTGAAAATACACTGATCTGTCCTAGTCAGCACAGAGGGAGACAATACACTAAAATCCCTTCGGTGGTACCCAGCCCTGCCACAATACCATGTTGCCTTGACAAGTGAGGAATGCTTGAAATTAAAGGCAGATTACTGGTTCCAAAGTGCAGTTGTGTTCTGTTGAGTATCATAGATTGTTAGGAGTTAACTTATTTCCCTAGATTAGAAGATAGATGAACTTTAGCCCATTAAAGGTTAAAAGGAAATGAGTTACCCTATTAGATATAGACGTGGCAAGTCAGGATGTAAGATAGCCCTGAGAAGAGAAGTCTATCTGTGTCATCAGAACATTTTGCTCTGTTCTTAGAAAAGAGTGTGACACTGGAGTGAGTGAGGGAGGGACGGGGGAGGGAGAGAGGGAGGAAGGGAGGAAGGAAAACTTAGGACACTTTAAATTACTCTTAAAACATCATACTGTTCTAATTTAGTAAGGGACTTAGCATTTTGACAGAATTCTGAGAAACATACTATGTTAAGAACTTGCAACTTGCATACTAAGGTATGTTAGTATATATATATATATATATATATATATATATATATATATATATAATTTTAACAATTATTATTGAAGGTTTTGTTAAAATAGATACTAAATTACTAACTTCAGTGAAAGCAAAATTGAGGCTTAAGTATGAGACATTTGGAAGCTAAGATTAAAAAGTCATTTTTCAAAACAGACTTAAGTAAACATACATAAACACATATAAATATATTTGTCAATAATCAGAAAACCCTTGTGCATCATGCTAATCTGAGAGGACCCTAATAGTATGTCTGGTCACTTAGAACTGGGTTATCAGACAGAAGAGAACTAGTAGAAGAGATTTCAACAGATGAATATAAAGAAGTTAAAAATTTAATTTTGATGAAATAATAAAGAATAACAAAACAATTTCATTGCCCTTTTAAAATATAAACTTCAAGCCTAAATGTTGAGCATAAGTACAAATTTCTTTTAAAGGTCTACATAATATAACTCAATTACATTTAGGCACAATAGGGTAAACAAATGAATTGATTTACAGCAGAATCAGAAGCCGATAGTTTTAAAGCAACCACCAATACATAATATTTAAGAAATATGTATATAATACTTAAGGTATATTAAGATATAAAACACTTAAGATTGGTCAAGTGTGGAAGGACAGAGTGCAGGTAAACGATGGCATTTGGGATAGTGCCTGAAGAATCCCCAAGAACTTTAGAGAGCACATGTTAACCCTGAAGCTGTTGTGAATAGTTGCTGTCCTCCAGTCCTGGAAGGCAGAGGAGCTCCTACAAGAGTACCCCTGGGCTGATATCAAGATGCTGGCATGGTGTACCACTTTCTGAAGACTTCAGGAGAGAATCTATTCCCTTGCTGCTTCCAGCTTTTGGGAGCTGCCTGTGTTCTTTGTCTCGGGGGCCCAGTCTCTACACCTTTAAGATCAGCAGGAGAGGGCCGGATCCTTCAGCCTCAGATCACTCTTGACTTCCTCTTCTGTATGATTCTTCCTCTGTGTAGACAGTTGATTATATCAGGCCTATGTGGATAACCCAACAGGGTCTTTTTTACTTGGTGTCGGTCATCTGATTAGTGACCTAAGTTAACATGGATGCTCTCTGCCGATTAAGGCATGAGCACTTTGGAGGAGCTATTTTTC